CCTGTCCCTTTGGCAAAGAGGTGGGTTTGTGTCGCTGGGATGGGAAGCGTTCCAACCCGATCCTCGAACCCTGCCCCTAGGCAACCTTCCGCAAAACAGGCAGAAAGGGGAAAAGGCTGAGCCTCAGCATGCTGGAGGGGAGGGAAGGAGCGTTTTCTTCGGGAAGATGCTGAGCGGCTGGTGACTTGTCAGCGTGGGGAGTCCTCCTGGAGCCCGCGCCCGCACCTGCCCCGTGCGTGCCCACCCATGTGGTGGCCGCAGCGGTGGCCACTGTCACTGGAGCTGGCATAAGGTGTGATGTGCCGCGCCTCTGGGGCCCACGCCAAGCCGATGCCGAGCTGGTCCTAAGAAGCGCATCCACACGAAAGCACTGTTTTTCTGTGTTGGGTGCTATGAGGTGGTGGTGTGTGCTGGTTCTAGCGTAAGACATTCTAGGGAAATTTCGCCATTTGGTATTTCTTCAGAACACAAGAATGTACACAGCTATGTCTGGGGAGCAAAACCGAGATACTGGTGGAGCCTTTAACTTGCATACATAAACTTTGTTCCCAGGCCCGTCTTTAACACAGCGGTTTAAGTGATTTAAGATGAGCCTGCTAGCTGGATACAACTTAGAGCGAAGAAAAATATTTTTTAACTCGTACTGTTCACTAAGAGCTACCACTGCACATTTCATGTGTCTTGACAGTTTAATAAGACTCGAAAAGAAGGATTGGAGGATGGATTAGTGCCCCCATTCTGGGTGGGATGCCTACCGTGGCGTGTGTGTCTATTTTAATTGCCTCGTTGAAGTTTGGCACTGATTATGGAATCCCTCCCCTGCTTTCTGGAAGTTATCTGCAGAGACCAGTTGCCTGGTGGTAATATACTCTTATCAGCCTGTACTGAGGAACCTTTATCTTGGATTATCTTGACTGCCAGGATAGAGCCAATTCACATTCTTAGTGACTTAACTGGTATAAAATTATAAACTCTATTTGTCCCGAGGAGCCCTGGTGGCTCTGTGGACTGCTAACCAACTGCAGAATCAGCCAGTTCAAACTCATCAGCCACTCCATGGAAGAAAGCTGAGGCTGTCTGCCCCGAGAAAGATTTACAGTTGGAATTGACTTGATGGCAGTGACTTTGGTTTATTGGTCAGCTGTACTGCATCATTGTGAATATTTATTGCAGAATCAATAGGGTGCTTTACCTTTCATCTCTTACCTAGTCCATTCCCCCCGGGCCCCCCCCCCAAAAAAGCTCTTAACGATTTTATGGCTCAGAATGGGGCACCTAGTGCCCTAGCCCTGACATAGGAGGAGGAAATTATCTCTTGACTGATTAATTTCTTAAACTTCTCATACAATTAATTTACAGGTTAAGCATGTTTTTTAAAATTGCGTATCACATTACTTATCAGTTCTATAGTAGCTTTTAATAGAATGGGCTAATCAATATTCTTTTAATTTCTAAAAGCAACTCATTTGGGTTATATTTATTGGGAGCAATTAGTTGATAGAACTGGGACTTAGAGTCAGAAGATGCTTGGAGGGAATTTTTAGGGAGACATGGACAGGAGGCGTTTTGAGTCCTCCTGCCATTTCGTGTCTTCTGCTTTCCAGCAAGTCACTAAACTGCTTGAGTGGCTGTTTTGATTATTATATTATTAACAGATAAAAATAACTTGTTATTATATAACATAAAAACAACAACTCTCATTAAATAACACTTTTTTGCTTCAGAAAAACTAGAATGTATAGAAAAGAACACACACATCTATCTACACACCCTATAATACAGCAGCATCAAACCCCATTAGTAGTTTGTTCTCTTGCTCCTTTTTTCTCCTATATATTTTAATGTCATTAAGATTATATTGTATATAATGTTTATCCTGCTTTAACGTAACATAGCTTAAGTACCTTCTATTATTACATTTTGAATTTAAAAAATTAAAGGTTTCACATATTTTTGATTGGCTTAACAGTTGGTCCATTGTTGTACTTCTAGGATTAAGAAAAAAATCTATAAACAGGACTGAAATTAGTGCCTTTGGGCATACATTTTTCTTTTCAGGTTGGACTGCATACTAGGATAAGAGGCCACTACGTAGAATAACCAAGAATCTGGAAACTTTTCAAAACTCTCGATACAACAGACACATTTTTTTTCTTTTCATTTTTTTCCTCACCTGGAGGGGGCTATAATTTCTTTCTTATTTTATTTATTTATTTTTAAAAATCACTTTATTAGGGCCTCATACAACTCTTATCACAATCCATACATACATCAATTGTGTAAAGCACATTTTTACATTCATTGCCCTCATCATTCTTGAAACATCCGCTCTCCACCCAAGCCCCTGGTATCAGCTCCTCATTTTTTCACCTCCCTCCCTGCTCCCCCTTCCCTCATGAACCCTTGATAATTTACAAAATAATATTTTGTCATATCTTGCCCTGTC